GACACCATTTTATGTCACTATTGTATGTAATAGGATTTCAGTGTTCTATTATATTTGGGATTTCACTGCATTTCTGGAACCAAACCACAGTGGATACCAAGGTCCTTAAGTGCCATTTGTCAACATGATTGCTGTTGGACCTGTTAAATCCAGATTAGTTTTCTCTTGTGCATCAATATCTTGTGTCTAGAAGAGAGCTTTCCAAACTCTGTGTCATGACACATTTGTGTCATCCACAGTGTGTAAGTATGTGTTGCACAAATGTAATGAGAAACCTCTGAGTCTACGTAAAATACGCAATAAAATATATGTTTAAATATATATAAATTAAAGGTTTTCATGAGATAAATTTTGTTATTGCAATGTATGTATATGTACGTATCTCTTATAAGGGGTTGGTTTAATCTCCATTTTTCTAGTAAAACTGAATTACTGTGTTGTGAAATACTCCATGACTAAAAAGTGTACCAACAACATGAGATGGTTGGAAAGCTCTTAGAATATCTATATATATAAAAAAGCTCTGTGCATAATGAGTACCTTAAAAACAAAAGAACCAATGAATGAAATCACACCAAATTTGGCAACAAAACGTCTCACAACACAAGGAGTGACCATCACTCAAAAAATTATGATTTTGTTATTTGTGAGTTGCAGTTGGTGGGATTTATACTTCACCTATAATCAAAGAGCATTCTGAACTCCATCAACGATGGGATAGAACCAAACTTGGCACACAGAACTCCCATGACCAACAGAAAATACTTAAGGCCACCCAGTCCAACTCTCTTCTTCACCAGGGCAAGATCAAAGCCCTCCTGACAAAGAGTCATCCAGCCATAGATATAGATAGATAGATAGATAGATAGATAGATAGATAGATAGATAGATATGATTCACACACTATAGTATCCTAGATTTGAAAGGGACCCTTAAAGAAGGACAATGATATCTTGCATGTTCCAGGGTGGGCAAACCAGACCCTCTCCACATCAACATTGACAAAGAAACAGCAAGAAATACTGTTTACCCACAAGAATCTAGACATGACATATATTAGAAACCAACACTTTCTCGTTACTTTATTTTCCAGATCAACAGACTGGGCCACAGCAACGTGTGGCAGGGGTCAGCTAGTTTACTTATAAGGGAGGATTATCTTGTGTCTACATTGACATTTTTAGTCTCCAGGCTTGCATATTTTTGACAGTTTGAATGTTGCTTGAAATTTCTATTTTTGGAGTACTGTAGTAATGTTTTACTTGACAAATTATGTTAGTGAAGTTATGGTTTGCAAATGGTACTTGTATATGTATATGAGCTCATGCACACCCACTTGTTAATGGCTTGGATTTTACATCACCAGAATACTATCCTTCTATCTAAACAGTGAAACACTCCAGATATCATAGCATAATGTTAATATGGAATTGGAGTGACTTTGATGCATCAGTGATATTTGTTAGCTTTTCTTACAAGCAACATTGGATCTTCATTGTCTGCACATTAGACATATTCAGAAATACCATTGAATCATACCACTTTGTTTCTCTTTGTTTGTTTGTTTGTTTTTGGCTAAGAATGTTTGATCTTTATTTTAACTATTCCCTGAGCCCTGGAAGAAGCACATTAGAAACTGGAATTCATATATATCCTCAAACAATTCTTTGATTTTATCATGGGGCTTTACAATCATTATTTTAGGATACTTTCTGGAGTATGCTATGCACTATTCTGCTCTTGGCATAGGCCTTTTGTTTCCTACAGTGCCTAAAAGAAGTATTACGCGCATTTAGGTTTTCCCACATTTTGTTGTGGTACAACTTGGAACTGAAATGGATTTCATTGGCATTCTTACTGCTTAAAAGGATGAGTCTTTATCAGCTTTACACATCTGATTCCTGTATATTTTGTCCATGTTCCCTGTTAAAGTTGTGTCAGCATTATAGGTTGGATGTGAATCAATGGTGAATAGCAACATTTAAGTCTTTACACTCTCAATTACACTGTGGTCTGGCTTTTGACTGGATAATTCTAAGAAATTGCTCCTTCTTTTAAAAAAACCTCCAGTGTTACTTATGCTGTGTGCTTAGGGTCATTACCATGTTGGAAGATAAACCTTTACCACAGTTAACTTGCAGAAATAAAACAGATTTTGCAGTAGAATTGCTCTGTATTTGGACCCATCCAGTTTGTCCTCAATCCTAACCAGTCCTCCCATTCCCACAAGAATGCCCAAAACAAGATATTGTCATTGCAGTATTTCACCATACTAATGGTGTTCTTAGGACAACAAGCATTGTTGATTTTGTTCCACTATAGCATTTTGCAGCAATGGCAAAAAGGTTGTGTTGTACATATCTACTGTGTCCTACATTCTTATTAGCAAACTCCAAAGAGGATTTGACATGGGTTTAAAGCAACGGGTTTATTTAAGCAGTGGTTTTCTTCTCACTGTTCTTCCATGATATCCAGCTTGATGGAGCATATAGGTGAGAGCTGTCAGATGAATGGGTTCTCCCATCTCAGCTGCTTACACCCAGTCTCTTTACATTTACAGTGAACCTTGTAGATATTTCTCTATACTCTTTAATTAGTAATGTGTTAGCGGTCAGCCTTATCAATGATGGATTGCAGTTGAATGGATTTAACAGTTTTCTGGAAATTTTCATATTTTGAGATTTCTTTAAATAACCCAATCCCAATTAATGTTTTGTTTATCTTTATTATAAGTTATATTGACTGCTTCTTAAATTCAATGCTGTTCTTTGTGGTCTTCTAGAAACCTGGGCATTTAGTTTGAGATCCCGTAGCATTGGACTTACACACAAGTAGTCTCCATTCAACTGGTTGTGTGACTTCTGGAAGCAGTGGGTTGCCTCAGAACTTGTTTAGACGTGCCACAACAAAGGCAGTGAATACTTTTGCAACTTATACATGTTGCTTTTATTTTATTTTGGTGCTGCAATAAAATTAGTATGCAGCCTCAGAGTTGATTATGTTGTATGCTTCAGGTAGCAACAGTTCCTATGAAATCCATTTCAATCCCACGTTGTAGCACAACAGAAAATTGAATAGTTGGCCATGTGTAAATACTTCTGAAAGGTGCTTGTACCTAAAATGAATACTCAAGAAACACTGCATATAATGGCCTTTGTTCAAGGCTATTTTCACTCAAAGTATTTTCACTGACTTTTCAGGAATCATGCTAATGAAACAATGAACTGAAAAATATTTCTAGCAAAAGAAAAAACAAATATTTCTAGCAAAAGAAAAACTTGGTTTGAAAGCTTGAATACTCATTTTGGAAGGACCTTTTATAGATGATAGTACTCTAATTCTTCGATTCTGAGGTGCGCTTTTCCCCATAAAAATGTGGTGCATCTTAGGTGCTTTTTATGTTGGTGGTACTAAAATACACTGAGATAGTAAAGTTGAGGTGAGAATAACCTTTAAATTAACATTCATCACACTATTATGTGTATAAAAAAATGTTGTAGCAGCTCTAAGTAACACTAGCCAGACTTTTTTTCACTCCTTGTCATGAATAAATCTTTACATTCAGAGGCGATTTGAGCATAGAAAAGTTATATACAAGAATTGGTGCTGAGCTGTATTTTCTCCCTCACAAGTGCGTTCTACCAAAAACTTGTTCTTCCCTACATGCCTTTCTGTTTGTTGGTTCCAGCCCTATGCTTACCTTTAAAAGAGGGGTCTGGAAGCAGGACAGACCCCCTTGTGGCCTGCAAGGCATAGATTTCAGGGGGAAAAAATAACTGCCAAAGAAAGAATTAAGCAATTATTTCTCTACAACAGCATTTTCATGCTCCTTTTCAGGGTATTCAATACAAAGGAAGAGGTATTAAAATAATGTTGCAGGCACCTAGTTTGGCTCTTAACTATAAAGATTGAAAGTAGGTATTAGTGTTGCCTGCTAACAGTAATTCAAAGTTATTCTGCTTAAGTTTTCTTTAAGCACTGTATTAAAAACTTTGGCCTGGCTCTTCTTGGTACTCCCAGTTAGAGTACATATAATGAATCAGTGAAATTTATTTTAAAGTTACTGTACTGATTTATTGCAAGTTGTATTTAGTTTGACAGCTTATTTTTTTGTTTTTGGCTTGTTGTGGTTACAGATTTGCAGATGGACTTATTTGGGTTCCTGCATGTAGGCCTGTTTCCAAATTTGTACAACTGGGATGTCTATTTATCAATAGAATGTTTCCAACCCTTTCACCTAACATCTGGAGCCCCTGGTGGCACAATGTGTTAAACCCTTGTGCCGGCAGGACTGCTGACTGAAAGGGTGAGCTCCTGTCTTTCAGCTCTAGCTTCTCATGCGGGGACATGAAAGAAGCCTCCCACAGGATCGTAAAACAGCCAGACATCTCCTGGGCAACATCCTTGCAGACAGCCAATACTCTCACACCAGAAATGATTTGTAGTTTCTGAAGTCACTCTTGACATGGAAAAAAACCCCAACATCTGATTTCTGTATACCCTTAAAGCTTCTGAGGCTCAGGACTTATGGGCTTATTCTTGAATATTCATCTGTAAACTTATTTACAGCAATACCAAAGAGAACACAGCTTAAGAATAGCAAATCTTGTTTATTATTATTTGTTTATTTATTTCGGGCTTTTATATCCCATCCTATCTCAACCTCCACAGAGGGACTCAGGGTGCCCAACAAATCGGCACCCCATGGTGCCCATACAGGAAACATAAAAATACAATTTAACAGCAGTATAACAATAAAGCAGTATAAAACAGTATAAAACAATATAAAAACAATCAGTCAGCAGTCACTGGTTTGAATCATCATCCGAGGGGCAGTCCATCAGTTCTATAAAAGTTGCCACGTCAGCAAGTCAGTCTAATCAACCTTGACCTGGATTGTGTTCTTAAAGAAAATATCACTGTTAACTCCAGGAATCTTAATTATCTTGATCTTAATTTTCAATCTACCTTTGATATAGTAATATTCTGATTTCCATTAGGTTGTATACATCGCCAAAGAAGAAAGCAACTCCAGTACAAAAATCTATCAATCCTCTAGTTTGGTGCAGGCAAATACTGGATTATCCAACGCCAGATATTGAATGTGCTAAAAAGTCATTGATTCATAGGCTTGAACAGACAATGTCAGGTGAGTATGTGAATCAGTGTTTACATTCATATATTGTACAAAATCAATGCATAGAATACTTGATGTTTTAAAATCTACCTTAGTTTAACATTGGGGAATATATTTGCTTAACTATGTCTGTATTACATCTCTAAATTGTAAGAAGGATTTTGGATTGTCAGATGTATGGAATAGTCCCATTGAAAATCATTTCATAGTAAAACAACAGTGATGTCAGTGTTCCTTTTATCCAATCGGAAGTACACAGATGAGGCAGCTTCTTTTTTAGATTAATCTTGGTTCACATTCTGTAAAGTAGCAGTAATAACTTTTAAATAAAAAGTTCTTGTTCCATCTAGACAAAGTATCAAAATAGAATATTATTGAAAGTGAGCTAATTCCTTCTGTCCAGGTATGTAATCATGCTGTGAAATTTAACTGTGTTTTTCTTTAATGCCACTATTCATATTTGAGGCATTGAGCTTACCACATAAATTTCTTTCACTGCATTGGTCTACTGAAGTCAGGACAGATAGAACTCAGAACATGACTAATCTAGCATAGTGGTGGTCTTGTCAGGCAGAGATTCATAAATTGATGTTTCCGGTTACAGTGGCAATGTATGTCCTCCAGTGATCATCCATGAATGCTGTCTACGTATATTCAGTGGATAGAATATGACATTCATCATTTTGGTTTGTCTTAACATTGCTACTGTGCTGATGATGGTCCTAACATAGGTTCTTGCTTTTGATTTTATTGCCTTTGAAATCATTTGTAACAAGATGGTTGACTGCAGAGCAACACAGGACTCGGTTTATCAATCTAGCTGAAGGTTTATGTACAAATGTGTCTCCGAATAGATAGGACTCCCTTCACTAAACCAACAAATTGTGATTATGGAGACCATTGAAAAACAGCTCATAAACTTACTATTTGAGACAGGCGGTTGCATTCAACCCCTTCAGTGACTTGCTGTGTAAAGTCCATTCCATGTTGTAATCATTCTAGCTTTTCAACTAGAACAGCAGCATTTCTGTTTGATATATCATGATTTAGTGCAAGAGGTTTAAGTGTATGACAGTGTTCAATTGCAGTAAGATGCTGAAGAGATAGAAAGCTTACCTTGCCTCCCCCCAGCTACCCTAACCAAGACCTACCTCAATTCTAACCATACACTGTCTCCTGCCTCTTTTTATTTACTTGTACACATAGAAAATCTTCAATAAAAATATTTTTAAAAAGTGATAGAAAGCATAAATCCCAGCTTTGTTTATGTGAGTAGTATATTTTGGGCCTCAACCTGGTATTGTCCAAACAAAGCACCTTGCTATTGGAGACTTCAGTTTCTCAAGCATGAGATCCTTGTGAGGAGGAACATTAATTTTGATGTAAATAGAGCTTCAGAAAATTTTGTGTGCCTGAATTAGATATTGATAAGGGTTATGGATTAGCCATTGTATTAAAAGAAATTTAGCATGTTGCAACGTGTTCTTGAGTCACTCAAGAACTAATGAGCTAATGCAGTGAAATGGGATTTGGGAGCTCAGAATATATTTGGTCACTCTGAATAGGTTGTTCATGATCCTGAGACTACAAAACTCTAGGTAGTAATGCTTCCAGTCTTGAGGCAGTGAAGGATTCTTTGGCTCAGTTTGTCCACTTTCATTGCATCTTCCCTGCACACAATTTTACATGTACTCCAAATTATACTATTGTCTACTTAAGTCATTATTTTCTGTAACACTGGGTACATTTTGGGCTTTCAGTATTCAAAAAGTAGAGACCTATAGAATAATAGAAATAGCAATCAAGAGAAAGAAATCACACTGCACAGTAATACTTTGCTTGTTTTGCACTTGTTCTTATTAGTCTGGAAGTAGTAGACCTTTATTTTAAAAATAAACAATAAACAATACATAGAGTTATTTTGGGTCAACAGTCCAGGATTCTTCAATAAAGGAATATATGTGATTAAATGCCATAAAAATGAAGTCTGGTTTTAAAGTAAATAGTGCTTGAATTCATTTTTCTCCTTGTTAAATGCAGCCCTCAAGCGACACAGCCTCTATAGTAATCCATTCAGCACTGTCAATTATGCAAACTCCTGTAGTCCAAATGCAGGCAGTCCCTACAACAGTAGCTTCAACTCTCCTTCTTCCACACCAGTGAAACCTCCTTTAGTAAAACAGCTAATTCTTCCTGGCAACTCAGGTAAGGAATGTGAAAGTAATGGTTGGAAAAGTGATAAGCATGAAAAAGTGAGCATTGTGAATGGGTTCTTTCCTTAAGAGCAGGGGTTCTCAAACTTTTTAAACAGAGGGCTAGGTCACAGTCCCTCAAACTATTGGGAGGGCCAGATTATAATTTGCAAAAACCATGAATAAATTGCTATGCACACTGCATATATCTTATTTGGAGTGCCAAAACCACCTAAAAACCATACAATAATTGAAATGAAAAAATTAACAAATATAAACTTATTGGTATTTCAATGGGAAGCGTGGGCTTGCTTTTGACTGATGAAATAGGGTTGTTGTTGTTGTTGCTGTGTGTTTTCAAGTAGTTTCAGACTTAGGTTGACCCTGAGCGAGGGCCGGGTAAATGACCTTGGAGGAACGTATCCGGCCCTCGGGCCTTAATTTGAGGATCCCTGCTTAAGAAAGTTGTATGTTGAATGGCTTTTTAGAAAGGAGAATAATTAGCATTTTATATAGTTACATATAATAAAGTGTTTCCTTTTAATAATCCCAATGACCTCACCTCTGAGGATGCTTGCCATAGATGCAGGCGAAACGTCAGGAGAAATGCCTCTAGAACATGGCCATATAGCCCAAAAAAAAACCACAAGAACTGAGTGATTCCAGCCATGAAAGCCTTCGACAATACAATCCCAATGTACTTTTCCTATTACAGTCAGCCATATTGTGTTTGGTTATAATTAATATATCAGAGTCTAAAGACTATAGTTGGGCTGATATTGCTTAGGGCTAGTATTAATAACATAGAGGAAATATTGTCTATAAAAGCAAGTTAAAGTGCTCCACTCTAAATGTTGAGTAATTAGCCAATTCAGCATTGTCTGCAAGGTACCTATAAACTTTCCCTACATTTTATGTTGGAAGTGTCTACCACTATATAGGGCAAGTTTGGAAGCCAGATATACAGATTTTGATATGACCTATGGATAAGTTGAGGGTAAAACTTAGGACATGTAACAAAAGATGTAAAGGATGAAGCTCCTGCAGACAAAGCTATTTCATCATATTTTGGAACCCCTCACCTTTCTGGAAGTCAGCCTTCAGAATATACAAACCTTTCTTCAAAACAGAAAGTGCCCCTAAAAGGAAGTCTGATCTTTTCCTAGATTGAAGAAATGCTGGAGGAGGTCTCTAGTAGCCTAAAAAAAGGAGCACCATCCAGTGCAGGAAAACATGTCAAAATGTTTAGTAGTTCCTAGACGCCCAGTGCTATCAATCACTGGGGGGGGGGGGGGGGATAATAATTAAATCATACACATCACTTGGGGCAACAAAAGCAGATTAGAGTTGCATATTGCCCATGGCTTACACTTTGCCCATTAATGCAGTATGTGAACCTGTTGGCAGATCCCATCTCCAGTATTCCTGGGACTGCTTGCAAGCTTCAATTGCCCCCCAACATTTCGTATGATGTAACCAAAATGGACAAAACGTCCATGCTGCAGATGGGCCTTTGGGCAATTTTTAATGTGTTCTCACCATATCTATTGTCGCAGATTAGACTGGTGTTCTGATCTTTTTAAAAAAAATTCCAAGTAATTTCATAGCTTGAAAATTAGTATCACTGACTTTATGAATGTTGCTCTGTGCAAATAAGACTATGAACAATGTTTCATTAATTTCTGTAGCTCTTTTGGAATCCAAAGTCCTGTATAATTCTTGTCTTTCATTAGTGTTGCAATGTTCTTTAGAAATAAATAACTCTAGAAACAGTAAGCTAGCCTATGAATTTCAGCATAATCAAGCTTCTTTTCTTTTACACCAACTTGGTAGGAGTCATATATAAAGTATTTGTTAATGATTGTTTTATATTGAAATAAAGGTTACCTGCTAGTCTGTGAAGTCACAATTTGTGTGCCAGTTTTGTTTTTGTAGAATGCCAAAAAGTGATGTGAATTAATAACACTTAAACTTAATATGAGGATGATGACATAGAAGTTTGGAAATACGAACAGAATGATTCTGAAGAGGGTTTATGGTTTTGAAATGTTCATTCTCAAGAACAAATGAAATGTCCCAGGATTACATCTCAGTTACTTTTGTTTGTTTTTTGGTGACTGTTAAATCTTTTTCATCTATGCTAATCAAGGTTACTGTTATCTGACAGTAAATTGATCTACACCTAGACTAAAGGAAAGTAAATTTCTGTGTCAGCTAGCTTGACATCCTCTTTGTCTTCCCCACATTAAATTATTTGCACATGCAAAGTAATAGATGTCTGACCTGGCTCTTCCCATTTCCCCTTGTTATAGGTCATTTTAAAAGTTCAGCAGAAAGAAATCCTCCACTAAGTCCACAGTCATCAATTGACAGTGAATTAAGTGCTTCAGAAATGGATGAAGACTCAATTGGATCAAATTACAAACTCAACGATTTAACGGATGTTCAGATTTTAGCTCGGATGCAAGAGGAAAGTAAGTATTTTTCATAGTAAAAAGTAAGCCCTATTTCATCACCATTCTTATCAAATTTTGGAGATGAAATATCAAAAAAAACAAGAATGTAGTAATGCAGATTGGCTTGGTATTTCTAATGGGAAGATGAACAGAAGACTCAGGAGGCCTGGCAGGGGATGATGCAGTGGCCTGTTAAGACAATAAGCCAAGTGAATTGGGCAGGGAAGCGGAAATAAAAAACAAAGAAAGGAGATGTATAGATGGTCAAGTGCTGCAGGCTTGTAGAAATAGAGTGAAAATTCACATATTGAAATAGAATGCTTTCTTGCAGTTTTCTGTAAAAACCGAATACTGAAAAAAAGAAACTAGAACTCCAGTTCCTAGGTGCAGGTTTTAACCTGCATACTTCATTTACAAGAAGTGGGATAAATCCATTATACAGCACATGATGCTTCTCTTTAGGGCCAGTCTTTAGTGTTCCCCCATAGGAATAGGATTTTTATATGAATACACATATAAGTTCAGCATGTCATGAGTTCAGCAGCCATTGATTTGATATGTGAGTTTGCCACCTGCTCTCAGAAATCCCCCCCCCCTGCACTTGAAGTCCAGTGTTGGCGCCATTCACACAACTGCTTTGGGAGAGGGGGGAACCCCAGCGATCACTACGATGGCCACCAACCCCCTCCTGAAGCCAAAGGCTGCTGTGTGATATGTGCAGAGCAGCCTGAGGTTTGGGGTGGATGGAATACCAGCAATCTTCCTTCACGAAGATGACTGCTATGTGGCTTGGAGAAGCAGTTGACAAGGACTGTCACTACTGGCAAGGACTGTCCTGATTCCCTATGGGAGATAGTGGCAGGGTATAAATAAATGTTATCATTATTAATAATATTATTAACTAGCTGTCCCCTGCCACATGTTGCTGTGGCCCGGTGTGTGAATATGTACTCTGTGTGTGTGTGTTTGTGAATATATGTGTGTTTGTGTGCACACACACACACACACACATATATATGGTTTTACGCATGCGTTATAATGTATTTTTTATTTTTGGCTTTTTAAGTCTTTTCTGCTGTGTTTTCCAGTGTTTTTATGAGTGATGGTCACTTGTTGGCTAATAGCTGCATTGTGTCCAAATTTGGTGTCAATTTGTCCAGTGGTTTTTGAGTTATGCTAATCCCACAAATGAACATTACATTTTTATTTATATAGATATTATTATTACTGTTCTGCTCTCCTCGCCCCACTCAGTATTGGGCTTCAGGAAGGTAGAACCTGAAAGATCTCACTTATCAACCACTTCCCAAAGCCATTTCCTCATAGGTTCCTGGAGGCATTTGTGCTTTTCCTTTGCCTTCCCAATGCCCCATACAAATGTATTGGGTTTCAAGAAAGTGGAACGCCAACTATCTCCCTTGTCAACCACCTCCCAAAGCCGGCTACTGTGTGAGCTCCTGGAGATGGTTGGTGAGGACAGAGCAGCAGCAATGTGTTGGGCGTTGGAAAGGCAAAGCATGAGTGATCAACCTTTCCAACCCTTATCCAAAGCCCACACAGCAGCTGGCTTTGGGAGGCTTCCTCCTAAAATGTGGAGCTGCTGTGTGAATATGCATACAGTATTCACACAGCACTCCAGGCTTCAGGAGGTGGCTTGCTAGAGAAATTGTTCATCCTTCCAAAGAATGGGAACAATGTGAAAGTTCACAGTGAGGCACCAAACTTGGGGGGGGGGGCTCTGTGGAGCATGGCTGTCAGGTACACCTTTTTTGTACTTTTTTTTCATGTTTTCAGTTCACCATTCCCTGAGCCACATATGGACCTTACACTACACCAGTGGTTCTCAACCTGCGGGTCCCCAGATGTTTTGGTCTTCAATTCCCAGAAATCCTAATAGCTGGTAAACCGACTGGGATTTCTGGGAGTTGTAGGCCAAAACACCTGGGGATTCACAGGTTGAGAACCACTGCACTACAACAATCTATATACCACCCCCTGGCTTACTCCAAAGCTATGAAATTGCATTATACAGGCATTCCTTGCATCAAGGATAGCTAGCAAAATAAGTGGAGGTTTGACTACACATACATACAGCAATACTAATACCAGGTGCAGAGCAGTGACACCAGTACTAAGATCATTATACATCCGGTGTGGGATGGGGAGGAGAGTTATTTCTTTGATCCTGTCTATTCATGTCAAATCATCAAATTTCAGTGTGTGGCGGCTTTGGGCTTTAAAGCAAAGTGGCCAGGGGCCTTTGGAGAAGAGGGCATGCCAACCTCTGAAATGTCCAAAAAAACACACCTGCACATATAAGAGACTCGTATGCGTGCCAGTGTTCTAGCCAAAATAAAAGGTGTGAGAACTCCTGAACCACCACATGTGATCCAGTTTAGGCAGTGTGTAGTAATGCTTAGTAAAGCGTCATCTCTTCCATGTATAATTCAGAGTGGTTTTCTCACTAATAGGTTTATATTACCTCCTGTTCAATCTTAATTGCCCACTGGGTGTCATATCGGAGGTCCTGTTGTGCCTCCATACTTTCAGAAGTGATTCACTAAACACAAGATTAGATCTTTCATGTAGCAGCACTCTAGTTGTGGAATCCCCTCGATATTCCCCTGATGGTAGTCCTTTATCCTAACTTTAGGTGAGCTGTGAAATTCTTTTCCTTTGACCAGATTTTTATTTATGTTAAATTGCTTTATTTAATTTTGCGTTTGAAATGCTTATTAAATTGATTTTTCTGATTATTTTTTAAAAAGTATAATGTGAACTGTATATTGTGTTTATGATTTTTGTAAGTGGCTTTGAGTCTGATGTGTTGTCGAAGGCTTTCGTTGCCAGAATTACAGGGCTGCTGTGAATTTTCCGGGCTGTATGGCCATGTTCCAGAAGCATTATTTCCTGACATTTCACCCGCATCTATGGCAGGCATCCTCAGAGGTTGTGAGGTCTGTTGGAAACTAGGCAAGTGGGATTTATATATCTGTGGAGTGTCCAGGGTGGGAGAAAGAACTCTTGTCTGAGGCAATTGGAGTTGGCCAGCTTCATTAGCATTGATACTTCCCTCAAACAGACAAGAGTTCTTTCTCCCACCCTGAACATTCAACAGATATATAAACCCCAGTTGCCTAGTTTCCAATAGACCTCAACTTCTGAGGATGCCTGCCATAGATGTGGGTGAGATGTCAGGAGAAAATGCTTCTGGAACATGGCCATAAAGCCCGGAAAACTCACAGCAACCCAGTGCTTTGAGTTTTTTTTACGAAAAGAATACAAATTTTGTAAAAAAAAAAAAGAAAAAGTTAAATAGATCCCCTCCTTACTTTGGTGATGAGATTAAAAGGTAAGGCAGAAATCCTTGTTTGTTCTAATTTGGTGTGAAATCAGATGCAGGTAAGCTTGCAAACAGAATTGAAATTTAAGTGGTATTCTTACTACCATTAGGTCTCCGGCAGGAATATGCCGCTACTGCTTCTCGACGTAGCTCTGGTTCTTCATGCAGTTCTATGAGGCGAGGTACCTTTAGTGACCAGGAACTTGATGCACAGAGCTTAGAGGATGAAGATGACAGCTGCCATCATGCAATGCACCCAGCGGTTAACCGGTTCTCTCCATCCCCACGCAATTCACCACGGCCTTCACCAAAGCAGTCCCCACGCAATTCTCCTAGATCTCGATCGCCTGCCAGAGGAATAGAGTACAGTAGAGTATCACCCCAGCCTATGATCAGCCGCTTACAGCAGCCTCGTCTTTCGCTTCAGGGCCATCCCACTGATATACAGACTAGCAGTGTCAAAAATGAAGGTAAAAGACTTCATCTCGCATTTTGTGCAATGAGCATTAAAGTAGTAGTAGTGCACTCCTAAGTAAGTATGTTGCTTACAAGCTTGTATCAAAAACCAGCTTCATAATATGTTACTTCTGATTTCCTGAGAAATATAAAAGAAAAAGTAGAATAAGCATCTTTGCTAATCATTAGGAAGACTAGAAATCAATATGCTGAGAAAACAGTTTTACTGATTTGATCTAGGGAAATATATATATTCCCATTCTGTAGCTGCATCATTTTCAGATTACTCCAATACTATTAGCAGAATATTAACTTGAAGAGTGTCAAGGCCAGCTTGATCAAAATAATGATTGTATTGGTTTTACTGTAAGCTGTTTTCTTTTTAGAGAAAAATTGGGCACAAATAATAATAATAACAATAATAGCAACAAATAATAATAATAACAACAACAATTTACTCAAGAAACAATATATATTCCTTTTGTAATATTTGCATAGTTGGCAATGAAAATGGTTATTACTTAAAAGTGATACCAATTAACTAGTACACTATTACAATGTTTCATTGGATTGAATGTCTAGGGAGAGAGAGAGAGACTAAATACATCATTTTTCAGTGTTATACATTTATAATCAATTATCTATCTATCCACACACGCACGTTTTGAGGGGGGAAACTAATGTGCCGTAACAAAAATAGAAGAAAAAAATGCAGAACACAATTTTTTAATGAAACGCAAAATTTTCGCTGCTCATACGGTGCTAAAAATGCAATGACATAGGACAATAGCAGAGATCTCAGCAAAAAAAAAAAAAAAAAAACAGGCAACTCAAATGCTTGTCTAAAATGTGGGTTTTTTAACTGAAAAATAATAAGGCAAGGTTTTTGGCCAGGCAGCTTTGCCTGAGGAAAGAATTCCACAGATTTGGTATTATGACTAATGAAGGCCTTTTCCCTTAATGCTCAGTCAGTGAACCTCAGTCATTGTGGGGGGAAATTGTATTGATTTGTAAAGAACCATACATAAAATCAAACATAGACACAAAAATCAAATGTTGCATGGTAACTAGATTTTGCTCAATGGTTTCTCTCGAGTTTGTAGTAAACGTTCAACTTACAACTGTCTTTGGATTTTCCAAATCATAAAGTCATTGCAGAATAAAAAAAGTAACCTGTATATATGTTCCTCAAACCTTTCCATTTAAAGGATGTTACCATCTTGTATGGAGCTTAATGAGGTATGTAAAAGCAACATTTGCATGGTAACCACTAAAAATGTCTCACATGTTATGGAGAACATATGGAAATCAAGACTGTGTTAGGAAATTTCACAAACATTGTTTGGCACCGTTGTTCTTCTGTTGTTGTTGGATGTTCCTGTTCCTTCTCCGTACTTCACCAGCTTAAACCTTCTGAGGCATGTTTTCAAACATCTTATGTTGCTAATCCTGCTTTGCAGAATGGGTTGGGCTCAGTTGTGCTTTACAGTAAGGGTGACTATAATTGACAACATTTACTTAAGTCCACAAAGTTCTCGTGTTCCTGTATGCTCCTTTAAATTCCTTGTTCAAAAGCTTTCAGTTCGGTAAGAGACATCCAATGTTGACATACTTGATCTGCATGCATATGAGGCTCCACTTATGTAGAATATTGGCTTAGGAACTAAAACCTGATGAAAGTGGGAGGAATACAATAGTAGTCCTCCTACTGAATATAGCTCATGTTTTGTAACCAGAGTATCAAAGAAAGATTCTTTGATATTCTGGTTACAAAACATGGGGTATATTCAGAGGATGCTTTTTTGAGAGACTTGAAGATTGCATTATGTGGAATATTCACATTATATTTCTTGTCTCTCTTCTGTATCTCTGTAACTGATATTGCCATTTCTTTATGTATTTAGAAGACATTAAGCAGGGGTTACATCTCTCACAGCTCTTGTACATGATCTACATCAAGAATGGGAGAATGTCATAGTTAACCAACACTCCTCTTACTATCCTCTTACTAATCTGGAAATGTACACTTTCCAGAGTAAGCAAGTTTGAAGAAGTCTAAAAGTTTGATGCTGGCACCATCTTCTGCTCAGATTGTGCCTATTTTTTTAAATCCACTGACTGATATTGTGTAAAAAATGTTAGTCTGTCCAGGGTCTGTCTGTTAGGTTTCTGCACTGTCTTGCATTCTCATCCACTTACACTCTGCTTTCTGCCATCCTTCTCAGATACCTTGCCTGCCACTTAATACAATGCTGGTAGAAAAAAAGTTGCTGGGATGGGTGGAAAAGGGAGCAAGAAAGGAAACTGCAATGAGTCCTTAGGGGGAAAAACAAATGCTGGACTACCAGACCAAGGGGCATCATCATTTTCTACAAAAGGGGTATCAGAGCATGTGATTGCTAGCACTTTTGCTTGTTCACTTTATGGTTCCTCACAGTCCTGCCGTAGCCAAAAGATAAAAGTAATTTCCTGCCATTTCTTTTAAAGTTGTGCTAGTGTTTTTCCTTGCATGCACTTATAGCCAGGCAGAAGCAGGTGCTTGAAAGAATAGAAAAAAAAAACTGCTTTGAAAATTGCTTGAAATTCATCAAAATTAGCAGTGGATTGTATTGCTTCTCCTTCCCAAGTTGAGTAGATAGGATGTGTTAATGGCACAAATGAAAGAAATGTTGCAGCTGAAGTGTCTAATATGCTTAGTACTGGATAATTTTTTTTATAAAGTGTAGGACATGAGAGGCTCAGGCCCAGAACCAACACTACTATGCCTTCCTTCTACACAAAGTAGAAACCAAAGAAAGGCTGGCAGCTGCTGGTTCTAGTATCAGGCTGTAGAACAGTGGTTTTCAACCTGTGGGTCCCCAGATGTTTTGGCCTTCAACTCCTAGAAAGCCTAACAGCTGGTAAACTGGCAGGGATTTCTGTGAGTTGTAGGCCAAAACACCTGGGGACTCACAGGTTGAGAAACACTGCTGCAGATGTGGTAGGGCTTCTATAATGACGTGTCTACACATCCCTCTGATATTACACAAGTCGTATGAAGAGCCAGAGCATTTGAGTGGGTATATTTTCTATCACAGTTTTTCCAACAGTTGTAGTACAGTTGCATGGAGCAAAAGGGTCATGGCAGGAGTAATTTTTTTATGTGCATGAACGTTTTTAGGTTCTGAAATAAAACCCAGAAATCTTTCCTTGAATAGAATGAAACATGCTTCTTTGAACATTCCTGCTCAGCTCCTGCACCCTGCTTGCATTATTTTTCTTACTTTAAACTTTTCCTTTTTGCTACTTTTTTGCTGCCCTAAAAGGCAGGGACATGCCAACAACCACGAGAAATTGCCCAAATCTCATAGAAATGCAGTAGATATAAAATTGGTGCATCGTGATGTGTGAAACCATGTTAAATGCAATCTATTTGAAGAATGTAAATTTTCTCCTTTATTTGCAAGTCTGTTAAATTTAAGAAAATATGGATCTAGATTAACTGGTCTATTCATCTTGAAGGAACAAAATTGATCTGTTGCTATGTTATGTTATGAGGCCACATTTATTTTTAGTCTCAACCGAACTAGAACCAGTGAAGGTAGAACTGATGCTACTGTTGACAAGTCCTGATCATTTCAATGGGATATGCTATTTGGGATAGAATTTGGTTTACTTTACCATGTTATACAGAAGGAAATTGCTGAATTCTGTTTTTGCCCATAGGCACCTATGTTCAAGAACTTGACTTTAAAACGTTCTGTGGAATTAGAATCCTTCAGGGTTGATGAATGATTTAAAACATTCCAAAACTGTTGCTCTACATCTTACTTTGAAGCTCAACCTAATTTCCAAAAATAATTCAGATGCCCTAACAATTACATCTAAGCTCTTCACAGAAGTATTAATCGTATGGAAATCCAGTGAACGTTAGCAGTGGCTGAGTTCAGTGTAAAAAGGATCATTTCAGGGACACCTTTTGGCAACTAACATATGCTCTTCTTTCAGAAGAGTACAAATAGACTGAAAGTGTTTCCTAGTCAGAAAATAGTATAACTGCTTGTTCTTATAAAGTACAAGTAATGATACAAGTCCAGGCTACACTCAGCCCCAAAAACATATCTTTGTCAAATGAATATTAAATCAGACTGCATTTTATTCAGTTGAATTCTTCAATCTTGTCTCTGCATTCAGTAAGGGGCAGCATTCAATAACTTCTCTTGTGGTATTTTAATGCATTGAATAAATAACTATCTCCTGTGGCTGTCACCAACATCCTGTGGTGAAATACTGTATCATGTAATTTCCAAATAAAGGGATTTTATTTTTAAATAGATATCAGTTTGCCCACAGGTCAGATCTGCATTTCTAAAAAGCCCTATTTATATGACTAAGAATTGCCTGCTGTGCAGGCATGAGCGAGAGGGCATTTTCAGCCGTGGCCGCACCCTTATGAAATTGTAAACTAGTTGAGTTTATTATTTCTCTGCGAATGAGATTGGCCTTAGGTTAATTGATTATCTCTGTCTTTTTTATGCAGAGGGGAATGTTTTATATTATATATTGATTACAACTGTTGCATATTTAATTGTATGATCTATTGAGCTTTCCTTTAAAAAAAAAAGACAACCAAGAAATATATTAAAAGATGATGCTATATCTGGCGTCATTACTGCAAGCCTCTAAAAGACTGCTGAGGACTCATTTGTTTTTCGGAAAGGATTTTGTTGAGTAACTAGCTATAATGTTTGTGAGATGCGTTGGATTTTAGTCTCTTCAACATTGAATATTGTTCATTTTAAGACCAAGGAGCTCCCAGTGATGCAGTGGATTAAATCCTCGTGCTTGCTGGACTGCTGACCAAAAGGTCGGCAATTCGAATCTGCGAGATGGAGTGAGCTCCCATCTGCCAACTCCAGCTTATGCTAAGACATGAGAGAAGCCTCCCACAGGGTGGTGAAACATCTGGGCGTCCCCTGGGCAACATCCCTGCAGACAAAAAAATTTAAAGCCATGTTTTTTGAAACTGTGATATTGCCTATTCATTTATTGACAGTCACCTTGAGGAGAAGGGCTGCCCTAAAAGACAGTGGACAAATTCCTGTCAATTCCTTCTTCATATTTTGACTCCTATTTTCCTGTCATAACTCTATGGGATTGTGGGAGAAAGGATTATATGGCTAGGCTCTTGTCTCTACAGATTTAGTTTGTATGCTGATAAGCATGCTGTTGTATGTGTGCAGTACTCACTTAGTATGTTGGAAGCTATTGCTTTCCAGTTGTAAGCCCTGCTAGTCTATGCAGATAGTCAGTCAGTACATAAAGATACTCCTTGCACCATAACCATGGTTATATTGAGAGAATAGACTTATCTTTTTATTTCTGTTTCCTAAATTGTCTAACTTGTCATACTACACAACAAATTGTAAATTTAGTTTCTCTTTGGATAAGAGCCAGTACATGTCGCTCTCCATAAAAAATACACATGTTCTTAAATGGAGTTTTTATTTTAAAAAATGGTACGGATTTGTAGGAAACTCTTTTTTTCCTCAGGTCCTTTGGCCTTCAGGTTATCATGGTTGGTACTACAGTTCAGTCTCCTGCATCAGTTGGTATGTTGTGGTGTTCTTATCTTTCTTCAATGCAGAAAAACTAAGGCGTAGTCTTCCAAACCTGTCCAGAACATCTAACATCCAAGTTGAGTCTGTGAAAAACAGTAGAAGTGACTCAAACTTTCAAGTGCCAAATGGAGGAATACCTCGTATTCAACCTCAGCCTTCATCCAGTAAGTATCTTTACGGTGATTCTGTAAACACTGCTTTTGAAAGTTGGCTGCAAAGATGGAAGCTGTGTGTTTACAGTTTCATGGTAAAGGGATTACCCATTTCAGGTGGCTAATACTAACTTGGCCAGATCTCATATCTATTGAGTGATTGAACTCACTTCTGAAAACAGTGCTTAATGGTGTAGTTTTTGTTTGGGAAATATTCTCACTGTCTGAACATCATGACATAGACTTAAATGAGATGTTACTGATATATCTTTTTGTGTTTAAATCATTCTTTAAACACCAAATTTGCTTTTTAATATCAACAACATCATATTTCATTGTCATACAATATTCCTCATCCCTGCAATGTGCAACTGCACATCTTTGGTTTACTTAATATAATGCAAAAAATGTGCTAATGTTGCATTTCCATAGTTTGCAAGCATGTCAGTTATAATTTCATTGTTTACATTAACTGCTGAAAAGAATATGAAGAGAGACAGAATCTTTGCGAAATACCCAGACCATTCATAAAAAAATTGAAAATTGAGATATCAACTTTTAATTTTTAAAAGGTCTGTCAAACTGAAAGTTGGACTAGAAAGTCAAAATAAAATAATTGGAATTTCATGTATTTGATATCACTTTTCAGTAATTACAACTGGAATTTATTGAGTTCTGACAGACAGCAAGCAAGAGGGGTAGACAAAAAGCCATATTCTTTATAAACTATATGCTTGTCATACAAATTAGAGGTAAGATTTTAGTCAGGATTGAAGAATAGGAAAATTTAAACTTCCTCTTCCTATTTATTATTGTCCCTTTCCTGACTTGGGCCCCATGAGCTGCTGTCTGGTACATATAGTGTTAAATTGCATATTTAATGTCATGGACAAATTGGCTGTTAGTGTCCATAAGGACTGTATAGAAATCTAGCCTTTTCAGCTTTCCTTATATATGTATTTCAAACTTTTGGGATTTTCTGGTTTGTCTTTTGTAACACCCTACTGTTCATGTGTAGAGATGTTATACTTTCCTCAGAATGCTGCTTTGCATGAGTTCAACTTGGCAAGGTTGTCTTGATTTCTGCCTAAGTCACTTTTGTGTTTTGCTCACTCAGTGACGTTTGAGAGGCTGCAATAACCTAACATACGCTACTAGTAATACAAAAGTTGGGACTCCACCACTGTATGTCGTTTAAATCAATGTAACTTGTACATATACACATATTTTGGGCTTCAATTTTATGTATAGTTGCTTTAATTCAGTGGCAAAATGTTGAATTGTGATACATTTCAACCATTGTGTTTGTCAAGCTAGTCAGGAGAGTAAAGGCATTGTAGGTTGGCTTTGTCCAGTTTTATTTTGATTTATCCCCACTTTCTCTGCCAGTAACCAGCTGAAAGTCATGGTTTATTTATGGCACCCCTAAACCAGTAGTCTTATCAGTTGTTCACTGATTTAACATTAGCCTCCTGCAAAAATGGGGCAGGTAATTATATAATATATACCATGGTACTAAAACATGTTCGGTCAAAGGATTGGAAAGTAGTCAACATGAAAGGCTTGTATTCTGGAGCCAGTGGTATTTCACTTAATTTTAAACTATCTAGATGCAATGACATAGCCAATTTTACAGATTATGCCTGACCATTTGAGATAATGTAAGAGACAGGATTAACTTGACATATGCTTTTGTGGGATCTCAATCAGCTGCATTACCACTGAAGCGTATTTTGAATTCTGAGTAGAAAGCTCAGTGACTTGTTGAAATTAAATGGCAAAGTCAGTGTTAGGGATTATAAGGGGATTAAAAAATAAAATGCAAGCAATGCAATTCCACTTAACTCTGTTGTGCAATCATATTTGCAATACTGGCCCAGTTTCATGAGTTTACACTCTGACATTAAAAACATGAATAAACATCATGTACTGCACATACAGTTGCTTTGGTACCTCCTTAGTTCTTCCCACTCCACAATCAGCACAAACAAAACAATACATTTCTATTATATCCAAACATGGAAATACTTTGGTAGTTTTTAAACAAGCCAGAATTTAATAGCCAAGTATAGCTTAAATTTGATTTTTAATCCTGGCTTGTTGGGATCCATTAACTGTAGTTCTCAGCTTAGAAATATCAAAAAGCTGTGGTCAACTGTGTCTTCCTGATTTGTTTTGCTGCTCAAGCAAGTAAGAAGATGAACATAACTGCATAGCTGCTGTACACAAAACATAATGGCTTATTAAGGCTGGATTTGATAACCGAAATAAAGCCACTGTGTTCTGCTCACTGTGTTTCCAGACAGATGCATCTATTGAGAAAGGGAGTGATGAAGATGATCACAGGACCACAACAAAAACAGTGGGGAGCGTATGAAAAGGAAAATGTTGTATCTCAGAGATGAATTTGCCAATGAAAATTATTTGATAAAAGCAGCAAGAAGAGAAAAAGTGGACATTTAAAATTACACAAAATACTGTACCAGTGACTAGCAGACCTATATTGATTTGTTAACTATAATGGCCAAAATAGAGCTTATGTATTAATAGGCAGTGAACCTATATACAACTAATCCATGGGGTTGAAAAGGATATGGTTATGTAAACCATGCTGATTTTCAGTGAATTAACCAAACTCATTATTAGAGGCAAGCACTAAAGAAATGTGTGGTCTACCTAAACAAGATAATTCTTAATATGAGTGAATGTTGGATTGTGATCAGTCATAGCATGATTTTTACAATAGGGTGTTAAGTTGATGTACTTTGTATGTACAGGCAGTCCCCAAGTTATGAAAAAAAGGTTCTGTAGGTTTGTTCTTTAGTTGAATTTGTATTACGTTGTCAAATGTACATTTTTAAGTGTAACTCCAGCCACAAGTGTGTGTGTATGTGTATGTCGCCATCCTCTCTAAAGAACGATTGGTAGGAAATACAGGGGGCTTTTTTCTCCAAAGGGTCTTCCTGTAGCCCATTAGCTGCTCTTTCCTTGCTCTTGTAACCATTTATCAACAATTGATTTCATGTGTTACATTCAATAGAATTTGCTCTCTTCTATTGAATCTAGATTTTTAAAAACTTATGCATGTCCTCTTGATTTTTTGCCAAGCAATAGAATATGAGTACCCTACCCATTCCACTTTCACTACCATACCCTTTGGAAAAAAAATATTTGGAAATGACTAATAAATTACCTTAACCATTTCATATCCCCCATAATCCTCCCTCTAACATGGTAACTGTTTTGGCTATCTCAAAAATCCTTCTGCCAGATTTTTTGAAACATTCGAGCATAAATCTGGGGTCTCTAAAACAAGCAAACAAATAAAGCATTTAGAGTGGAGGGGAATAAAAGTATAGTGCACATTACTCAGAAGGAATTCATATTAAGGTCAATATTCTGGTGTAAATATGTATAATACTACATCCCAATTTCAGTGGGATTTGCTTTCAAATGTATTATTAGGATTACTTTTTCAGAAATAGTGGTCATACCCATTTAACCAAAAATATTTGCAATTTTTTTCAAATGAATGTGTATCTCCCTTGCTGAAGGGAGATGTGGAAGGATCAAGGACAAATCATAGCTACTTTGTGTATATGAATAGTTTTGCCATTTCTGAAATGTCACAGTTGCAGAAGTTACAGTTTTATCTAGGTATTCTCATTCCTACTTTCAATAAAGAATTGCTAGGCAAAGCCATATATCTAGAGAAGTGAGGGACAGATTCTTTCTTTGAAACGTGGTTCACACTCTAAAAACTTAATCCAGACTTAAGGCATAGGCTCCCTAGATATATATATATACACACACACACACACACACACATCAATTTTTGCATGAACTGTTTCTATTGCTGCCTTTTGCTTGAGTTTTAGAAGTTGTGTTATTCTTGGCAGTGTAGATTAAAGTGAACTTATTATATTGCTAAATTCAACTGAAAACATGATTTTTAATCAGAATTCTTAGTCATTTTTGAAGTGTGTCTGATTTTACTTGATTTAGCAGTGGTCATATGCTATGCCAGTTAGAAAGTATGTATGTATGTATGTATGTATCTATGTATGTATTTACCCCACCCTTCTCAACCCCCTAGGGGGGACTCAGGGCGGCTTACAAAAGGCACAATTCGATGCCTAACAATTACAACATACAATACACTATACAATACACAAATTTACCACATAATATCATAGTTATAACTAATTAAAACCATCAGACAGTATACTAGCAGCAATAAAACATCTTGTGGTCAGTGTTCACCAATCCAAGTCCATAAACCTTTTAGGATCGTCCTTGTCCTTTCCTGCTCTGGTCATTATTGGTTGTCTTTGTCCATCTGCCAGCTACCCGAACGCTTGGTCCCACATCCAGGTTTTTAGCTTCTTCCTGAAGGAGAGGAGGGATGTTGATGTCCTAATTTCCCCAGGGAGTGCATTCCACAGGCGAGGGGCCACCACCGAGAAGGCCCTGTCCCTCGTCCCCACCAGTCTCGCTTGTGATAAAGGTGGGGCCGAGAGCAGGGCCCCTCAGCAGATCTTAAACTCCGAGGTGGGACGTAGAAGGAGATACGTTCGGACAGGTACCATAAGAAAATGTATTTTCGAAGGCTTTCATGGCCGGAATCACTGGGTTGTTGTAGGTTTTTTCAGGATATATGGCCATGTTCTAGAGGCATTCTCTCCAGATGTTTTGCCTGCACCTCTGAGGATGCTCGCCATAGATGCAGGCAAAACGTCAGGAGAGAAAGCATCTAGAACATGGCCATATAGGCCAAAAAAACCTATCGTAAACGTTTTTTTTTTTTCTGCTGTCCTTCCAGAAATGCCTTATATCCCAGGATTGGATCCCAGGTTTTCTTTTTATCCTAGATTATCTGACAGTGCTGACTCACGTTAGATTTGATTTTCAGCGCAGGAATTCAAGTGACCCAAGCCTCCACAATAGAGGTTCCATGGTCGGATCACTGCGCCCTGAGAGTCCAGTTGGAGCATGCCTACCCACGCTGCAAGGGCGCCGAGCCAATTTGGGCTCGCCCAAGGAGACTTATGGAACCCAGTAGGTTCCGGAATGCTCTGAGGGATCTGGAGCCTGCCAGCGACTCGATCGATGTGCAGGTGGACACATGGAACATCAGGCTATCCAATGCACTCGACGAGATCGCCCCTAGACGCCCTCTCAGACCCCGCCGAAATCGGTCTCCTTGGTTCACCGAGGAACTTCGACTGATGAAGCAGGAAAAGAGATGGCTGGAGGGTGTGTGGTGAGAACTCTGTGATGGAGCATCAAGATCAGCTTATGAAGCATTTAGGGAGTCCTATGAGCATGCTATCACTGAAGCAAAGCGAGTATATTGTGCCTCTTTGATAGCGTCTGCTAGCTCATGCCCGGCAAAATTGTTCAAAATAATCCGATCTCTAACGACGGTTCCTACCGTCCCAAAAAGTGGTGATCAGGCCCCTCCAGCCGAGGTTTTTCAGAGCTATTTTGCAGACAAGATCTCGCTACTTCGCCGGGACCTCCCCGCCACAATTGATACAGTGAGAGAACTTGAGACCCCGTGGCCACTTGCTGGGCCCATCCTCGACCGGTTCATCCCGCTGGATGCAGGGGCTGTCGATAGGCTCATAGCTGCAGCTAGACCGACCACTTGCTCCCTCGATCCGTGTCCCTCTTGGTTGGTGAAATCCTGCTTGGAGGGATTACGTGACCCTCTGTTGAAGATCATAAACAGCTCCCTTGAGCAAGGAGTCTTTCCAGAGGGTTTAAAAGAGGCGGTGGTCTCTCCTTTGCTGAAGAAACCAGATTTAGATCCCTCGGTTCCCTCCAGTTACCGCCCAGTTTCAAATATCTCGTTCCTGGGCAAGGTGATTGAGAGGGCAGCAGCGGAGCAGTTGCAGCAATTCCTAGACAACACAGCCGGACTAGATCCCTTCCAATCTGGCTTCCATGCGGGGCACGGGACAGAGACTGTGCTGGTCTCCATCACGGATCACCTTCGATGCCAGCTTGACCAGGGCGGGTCAGCGCTGCTTGTGCTATTGGATCTCACAGCAGCATTTGACACAGTCGACCACAATCTCTTGACCCACCGCCTTGCTGTTGCTGGAGTCAGGGGGACAGCTTTAAACTGGCTGTCCTCCTTTCTTCACAACCGTGGACAGCGAGTGGAGAGGGGAGGCCTGGTCTCTGAGAGGTCCCCTCTATCTTGTGGGGTTCCTCAGGGGGCCATTCTCTCCCCTCTGTTGTTTAACATCTATATGCAACCACTTGCTCAGCTGGTTCGAGGTTTTGGGCTTGAGTGTTATCAGTATGCCGATGACACTCAGCTGGTGCTGAAGATGGAAGGCCAACCGGACTCTGTACCCGATTGTTTCCATCAGTGCCTCGAGGCCGTTACTGGATGGCTGCGTGCCAGCAGGTTGAGGGTGAATCCAGCAAAGACGGAGATCCTATGGCTGGGTGGACCGGGCAGTGGGGACATCCATCTGCCCACCCTGGATGGCGAGGCGTTACGCCCGTCATCATTAGTAAAGAGTCTGGGAGTCCTTTTGGACCCTCTGCTGACAATGGAGGCCCAGGTCTCCGCCGTGAGCAGAACCGCCTTCTTTCACCTGCGGCAGGCTAGACGGCTGGCCCCCTACCTGTCCAGGGACGACCTAGCTACGGTGATCCAGGCCACGGTCATCTCAAGACTGGACTACTGTAACGCCCTCTCCATTGGCCTCCCTCTGTCGGTGATCCGGAAGCTCAAGTTGGTACAAAACGCAGCTGCTCGGCTTCTTGCGGGAATTCCGATGAGATGCCACATCACACCAATCTTACTACAGCTGCATTGGTTACCAATTGAGCACCGGATCACTTTCAAAGTGATGGTACTCACCTTTAAGGCCTTGCATGGTCTGGGGCCAATGTATCTGAGGGATTGTCTCACCCCCTACCAACCCCAGAGATCCCTCCGTTCTGAGGACCAAGATCTATTGGAAGTCCCCAGTGTCAAGACCTTGCGTCTAACGGCAACCAGACGCAGAGCCTTCACAGCAGTGGCGCCATCAGTCTGGAATGCTCTGCCACCTGAAGTTCGTGCCCTGCGGGACTTACCAACTTTCCGCAGGGCATGTAAGACATACCTGTTCCGACAGGCTTTTAATGTTTGATACTGTTGTTTTTAAATTGTTTTAAATTGCTTTTAAACTTTGTTAGATTTTAGCTATTCTTGTAAACCGCTCCGAGCCCCAGGGGAGTGGCGGCATATAAGTTTAAATAATAAATAAATAAATAAATAAATCCAGTTTAAAGCAGAAAACCTGGGATCGGATCCTGCGATATAAGGCTTGCCTGGAAGGGCCCTCAGTTTCAGGGCTGTGTCCTTATTCAGGACTCATTGATACGTGAACTGCATCTGAGGTTCATAATTGCAATGGATCGAACTGTGTCGAATTACCAGCTAAACATTAATACTATTTAAGTTTTGAAAGATTAGTATGAGCCTAATTTATTCTACTCAGACAGAAATTAGATTTCAGCACCCCTCAAGGCACTGTAGTTTGCTTGAGATTCATTTTGTCCTTGAAGTTTGAGCCTACCGATTCTGTGTAATAATTTTACAGTTTGGTGTATGAAAATGCTGAATTAGTTCCTAAAAAGATTTGGGGTAAAGTAGGAAAGCGAAAAGCTAGCGCTGTGGTGTGGGTTTTATAAACTGCTAAGCAATATGGTTTGCTTTAGCTTTTGACCTTACGGAGTAAAACATTGTGTCTTGAGAATTAAATGTGACAGCTGTGCTTGAGTTGAACTTTGCACGGATATGGCTGTAGCATGTTTGGCTGGTGGTTTGTTTTCACTTCTGGGTGCGTATACTTTTGCCTTCCTAGGCTTTGGCCTGCAGAGAAGCTGTTTGCCTGCTAAAACGCTTAACATGTTTTGTACTACAAATCTCTTGACACTTCCCTTTGCAATCCTTCTTAACCCAATGAACACCACCGTCTTTGAAAAGAAGCACATCACTGCTATTGCTTCCATGGCTGGAGCCATAACAGCTTTTGAAAACTTCCTGCTTTTCATTAGCCTTTTTCGCTTCCTGGTGCTTCCTAGGCATATCCTAAAATCTTACGCGAATTTGGCATTCTAGTTCAAAGCCTTTTCTCTTCTGTCTTTAGACAGATATAACATGTCTTTGTTTCAACAGCTCTGCAAAGGCAGAAAAAATTGCCTCGTGTTGCCTTCAAAACCAAGCAGCTCCTTCCTACTCCAGCTGCCAAAGGAGGTAATTCACTTATAGCCTCTTACCAAGCTCCAGTTAACCTAGAAAATTATTCCCTAGTGCTTAAACATCTCCATTTGAAATAATGACTATGAAGAACTGAATTTATTGGTAAATGTCATGTCATAAGTTCTCCTATACCAAACATTGCTACATTTTTAAGATAATGGCTACTAAGTTCTTCCTTTGTATGTTACATTTCTTTGGGAGATTAACAAGTTCTGATCTTAACATCCATTAAAAACTTTACATGAAAAGTTCCTTTTTGGTATTAGCTTACCAATTACATTAGAATTTTAGCATTTTATATTCTGCTTTACGAACAGATCTAGATTATGCTTTGAATTAATCATCACAATTCTTTAGCTGCCTCTGTTCCAAAGTTTCACATTTCTAGGTTTACCTAGTGTATGTTACTTACACTTTCGCTTCAGAACAATGGAGTAGTCACTTGTCTTGAATATTTGGATATTATTTGAAAGCATAAAAAATGATCAGTTCCTTCTCCTTGAAATAAAACCGTCAGTATAGTACTGAGCAAAATACATCTTTTCATTCTGAGGAACTCATTGAAGCTATTTTTTTTATTTATTGTGTCAGAAGTTACAAAAGTTACAAAATGTCCTTTATTTATCTTGTCAGAAGTTACAAAATGTCCAGAAGTTACAAAATGTCCTTTGACCAGAAGCTGGCCACTTGGAGTGCCTCTGGTGTCGCTGTGGGAAGGTCCTCCATTGTGCATGTGGCAGGGCCCAGACTGCATTATAGTAGGTGGTCTGTTTTCTCTTCTCCACACTTTGTGGCCCCATTTCTTAAGATTGGCTCTGCATCTCGTGGTGCCAGAGCACAGTCTGTTCAGCGCCTTCCAAGTCGCCCAGTCTTCTGTGTGCCCAGGGGGGAGTCTCTCATCTGGTATTGGCCACTGATTGAGGTTCCAGGTTTTAACCTGCCACTTTTGGACTCTTGCTTGCTGGGGTGTTCCTGCGAGTATCTCTGTAGATCTTAGGAAGCTATTTCTTGATTTAAGGCATTGGCATGCTGGCTAATATCTGAACAGAGGATGGGCCAGAGATGTCAATGCCTTGGTCCTTTCATTACTGACTGCTATTTCCCAGCGGATATCAGGAGGTGCAATACTGGCTAAACAGAATAATTTCTCCATCAGCATAGAGCATAGACATCCTGTGATAATGCAGCATGTCTCATTAAGAGCCACATCCACTGTTTTAATGTGGTGAGATGTATTCTACACTGGGCATGCGTATTCAGCAGCAGAATAGCAAAGTTCAAGGGCAAGGTAATGAATGATCTTCCTTCTTTATTTGAATGTAACCAATTAGAATCATAGAGTTGGAAGAGACCTCATAGGCCATCCAGTCCAACCCCCTACCTAGAAGCATCAATATTGCATTCAAAGCACCCCTGACAGATGGCCATCCAGCCTCTGTTTAAAAGCTTCCAAAGAAGGAGCCTCCACCACACTCCAGGGCAGAGAGTTCCACTGCTGAACGGCTCTCCAGTCAGGAAGTTCTTTCTAATTATACATAAGTATACATATTTGGTACAGTTCTAAGACTTCTTAATACCCCTCAATTTCAAGAAAAATATTTCCTTGTTTTTTTCTTAGCATTTCCATTCAGTCTGCTCAATTTTAGGACAACTAGAGCACTCACACATTTACTAGAAACAAATATGCCCCCTACCTTGAGAATAAAACTATTAATTTAGGAGGATTGTTGAATAAAATTCATATAAAACCTCTTGGACTTATTTATAATAGATAAGTCATCATGTAATTATATTTCTTTCTCTTAGAGACTTACTTGCAAGAACAAAGGTTTCTTCGAAATACCTCATTTAGCATCGAGTATTGCAGCATGCATTATCACTGTAACATCTTTCCAGAGTACTAGTACAGGCTTAAATAAAATATGACATTATCTGCACATACATGCTTCAGGAATAGTCTCATTCTTTTCCTACAACAAGGTTTCCTTCTTTTTCACACAGGTGTATACTTACCTGCCATGTTATCTCATAATCTTTAAACTTCAAAGGCAGAGCTATGAGGCAAAGAAGCTGCATATTTTCAGAATTAAAAATCTAGATTCCAGAATGTAATGCCTATCACCTTTTAGCTACATGTTGCATTTTTTTCGTATGAAGAAATATTTGATAGGAGAGAGGCTATTTCCTTTATTAGACAGCAAAGAATAAGCACTAAAAAGATTTTACCAGATGGTCACTGGCCCAATTGTGTATGTAGCCATGTAATAAACCTGCAGTTGGTATTTTACAAACGATGAATAAGGACAATTTTGCTACACATCAAACACAAATATCTGGGGGAAAAACAGTCATCTATATTTATCCATGTAAATTCTTGCAGAGTATATTTTATTTTCAGTGTTCTCCAAAACTCTGAGTAAAGCTTTGGTCTGTGTTCCTGATGTTATTGTGAAAGGGCATTGTCTACATACAATGTGAACAATAACACAATCAAATTGTCAGCATTACAAGTAGAAATTATTAAACATGCATTCCTCGTGTTTGTTGGTTAAATGGGTTCAGTTATGGAAGATATAACTCAGCTAAAGTAGTTATAGGGCTTCTATCCCTGTAGAATCTATTCAACATTTAAAAAGTGACTCGTTCTTGACGAGACTTTTAGTTTCATGAGGATATTTTATTTACATTTCACAACATGACAATTCCATCATGAAAGTATGGCTGAAGGTAGCTTAGATATTTTTCCAGATCATTAGCAGAAAATGAAATTAATCAAAAGGCCCCTTGGCTCACTAATATTGTTTCTCAAATTTCAGTAGCTGTTGCCTTCTGCAAATAATATAGCATTGGATTAATAGAAATAGCCCTCAAGGATTTCTTGAGGGTTATTCCTCTAGATCAGTGATTCCCAACCTGTGGTCCGTGGATTACCATTGGTCTGCAAGAACCAAAATATGGTCCATGGCCTCACAATTACTGCACAGTTGCAATGAGAGCGACTGGTCTCACAAAACCCTCTTATAATACCAAGGCTTATTAAATATGGTTTTCTGTGGACAAGCAGATGATGACTACTGGCTGGCATATGTTTGTATCAGAAAATAGAGCTGATGTGGTCTATCCAATGCAATTTTCTGAATCAGCACCACAAATAACCAAAAAGAATCTAAAGTTGACCAAAAACTGATTCGTAACCCATTGGGTACTAATGTTGGCGAGTGGTCCCTAGTCAAAAAAAGGTGGGGAACCACTGCTCTAGATTTTTAGATTTTCTTCCTTTCACATTTTCCCATTTTTCTTAATCTCTTAAAATGTAAAAGTCATTAAAGCAGTTCAAACAACAATGAAAATCATTCATTTCAAATTATTAAAGTAATTGTAAGTTTTAGAACTTTGATGTCAATAATCAAAACATCTCTCATGAAACCATTTAGACAGAAAGGGAGTACTTTTCCAACACATCTTGAATGGCAGTTTCAGGCAACCTGATGACTTTTTTTTGAGAACTCATCTCACAAAACCAAAAGCTCCAGGTATTTTTCATCAAAAGTTTCATCATAATGACTTAGTCAGTGGCCTTTGATGGGGAAGAGCAATCATACTTTTTGATGCCCTGGTTATAGTTAGCTGTCTTCTGCTTTACCAAACTATCAGCAAACTTCCTGGGTTTCCTGCAAGAATCTCTTAGATGCCTTGAAAACACCTGATTAGTTTGCACTCTATTTAGCACTGGTGGTTTAGGTTTATTACTGTGTCTTTCAAGCAAACATGGCAATTCTAGTCAAATTATATATGAGGAGGGTTCCTCATGCCCATTATTTAACTGTGTTAAATTCTTTGCATAGTATGAATTGTTGGGTTTAAATTTATGTGAAAAAGTGTAATAGTTCATATAAAGAAAATATTCTTCTGAACCTTATGGGTAACATCTTCTGGAATGTCACCCAAATTCTTAAGTCAGAAAAATGGCAGTGTTTTTTGTTCAACCAAGTTTTTAAAGTCCAGTATCTCAAGTAATTTTCTTTGTTATTATTCATTTATTTATTTACCATATTTATATACTGCCTTTCTCAGCCCGGAGGCGACTCAGGGCAGTTTACAATCGGCAAAATTCAATGCCCCCAACAACATTATCACATTGTTTTCCTCTTACGTTCACAGTATCGTTTTATACATTTAAGCTTTGTGATCATTTTTAATAGTTCTCGCTCTGTGGGAATTAAGCAGCCAGTTGGTGACCGAATGAGTCTAGCTCTAAATTCTTGGTCTTAACAGTTGTCCCAGAATCTTTATTTGAATATGTTGAATCCTTAGAAATTAGTATCTTTAATGGACAGTTAACCTATTACTTGGGTTTTTCCATATTCTCTGTGCATATCAATATATTTTGAGAGAGAATTTGCCGTATTCCAGTATCTTTATATTGTTATTATGTCAAATGGAACTTCTAAGTTTGGATTACTTGTTCTGCTTCACTTTGCATTTCTCTACAAGGTTTTCTAATCTCCTGTCTACCATAAATTGCTTCCTGATGCCTATACTTCATACATGTAGACACAAATTTTGCCTGTTGCTTTAGCAATGCCCAAGATTTTTTGCAGATGTGTTATTTCTTTACTTGGCGTCTTTAGATAATGTTTCCTCCAGGAAAAAGAGCTACAATGCTCCCATTAAGGGGCACCATCTGTTGGAATGTTGTTCGAGCTGCAAAGAAAATGTGTGAATATGCATATGTTCCCTCTGGAAGCTATTGATATTTTGGAGATACTCTCTGAGCAAAAGACTACTGTTTGGATTTGCATTAACTGGGCAGTCTTAATAATTACATCAGGCTGGGCATGGTTTGAAGCTTAAACAAAGAATTCCTTGTTCAATCACATGCTTCCTCTTGTAAAGTCTTTTTGTTAAGGAAAAATTCACAGCTGTGTGCAATAAGTGGGCAGTGTGGTGTGGTTAAAACTGAAGTATTGTGCTAAGTCATTTTTGTTATGAAGCCTTGTTCTTACACTATTTTGGACCATTTGAAAGGAAAGGACCAAGGAATCCAATTGTTCTGTTTTAGGAGCTTGCATGAACTTATAGAAACATCAGAGAGTTTATATTTCCTTTATTTAGCCCTTTCATTTCATGGTATTGACATTTTATAAAATCAGCTCACACGGGTTTGCTTCTCCATATATTCATTGCCTCCTTGTCAGCATGTTTTATCCCATACTGTGGAATATTTCCATAAATATTCCAAGAATTACTACCTACGAGATGTCGTGTGACTGTATTCTGTTTTCTCATTGTCATTTTTTCCAAAATATGAAAAAAGGAATGTCAAACACCTTGAATATTCAGTTCATAATTTCTTGAAATATTTTTAGTTATATTATATTTCAGGAATTCCCAATAAAAGAGTCGGTAGTGTGTCGCTCATTTCTATGAAACATTGAGCCCAACCATTCTCTTTTCACTGTATCTGAATGTCTTGAGCATCTTAAAGAGTTGGTATATTGTATACTTTTTTTATAATTTTCTTCCATTGGGTGATTTTAATTGTATTTCAGTATATAATTCTTACAGTATACTCACTAGAATTCAGAGATCCACAAATAAGACCTATTTTCTAAAGAAATTTAAAATTTTTAAAGTGTGGTGCTTCTAAGTATATTCTGATATGTAGGGTTTGTTTTAAATACTAACACTTAATTGAGTTAATTATTTTCTTCCCACAAAAGCCAATTCCTAATTACCACATTCTTTCATAATTTCAGCTGCCTAATTTAGTGAAATAATAATGTTGTTGACACCTTTGTTAAATAGTTGTAAGTTAATGTTCTGCAGACAATTCAGAGGTCTACCAGTAGACTCTAGTCTACCTTCTGCCGTCTCCTAATACGCATGTTTGTATAGCTTCCATTTTGAATTCAGAATTGATTGTCACCTCCAGTTAAGGCAGTGGTTCTCAGCCTGTGAGTCCCCAGGTTTTGGCCTACAACTCCCAGAAATCCCACCCAACTGTTAGGATTTCTGGGAGCTGAAGGCCAAAACACCTGGGGACCCACATGTTGAGAACCACTGAGTTAAGGTGCATATTAAAGAATTACTATATTATACTATAAACTGTCTTGGCATTACTTTATCATATGAAGAAATGTAAAAAAAAACCTCTCAGTTCCTTGATATTTGTTTCTTCCAGTCAAATCATATCTTATAATCCGATAGTTTATAAGACTGAAATAGGAAGTGTTCAGAGAAATAGATTTGGTTCAGTCATCCCACATAAAATCTTAATAAATGGTTGAACAAGTTTTTATAGGTCTAGGTCAAGAGACTACACTCTTTAATTTCCATTGAAAGCACCACTCAAGATTTTCTGACATGATACACTGGGTTGTAGTTTTAAGCTATGGTATGTTAGAAACAAATGATTGAAAATGAGCACTGAGCTTACCTGCAGTAAGGGTTGTTATACAAATCAACCAGGTCCAGATATAGATCTATGCAGTAATTAGCTTATCTAAATGGGGCAGAGGAGCACATGTTCGCTATGGTTTATTATGAAAGCATAATGTAGAACAATCAGGAGTGAAAACAGGCAACCTGTTGGAATGATGAAGCCAGAAAAAACACAACAAAACTATTTAATGTGATGATAAAAACATTTTTGTACAATTGCACATCAAATTGCTAATCAGTTTAAGTCAAATGTTGTAATTGAGTAATACATTAAGCACCTTTTTTTCTCAGAAGATATTGCTTCTCTCCAAAGATAGGTGTGCATCAGCACATCTTGTGTCCTGTGTAAATCTGTAGTATTTTGCACATGCCTCTAGCTGTTTTTGAATTATAAATATTTTGTTCCTTTGCTGTTGAAGCTGACTGTTCTGCTTTCGTTTTCCAGTTCCTTCTCCCAGTAAATTCCGATCCCCAGCAGCACCATCTCCGCTGGCTCTAAGGCAGCCTGTTAAAGCCTTTAGTAACCATGGACCTAGCTCTGCTGTTCCAGAAGCCACCCAGCTTCCACACAGCAACTCTTCACCGGTGCAGTTAGCAGCTCCCAATTCAGCCTCTCCAAGCCCAGCCAGCAATGTCAACAGCGCTACACTTACAAGGCCTGCAGGGACAACAGGGATGAGGAGTGGCTTGCCAAGACCTAGTGCCCCCTCTGCTGGGAGCATACCAGTGCCTCGCAGCAAACTTGCACAGCCTGTTCGTAGGTGAGTCTGTGGCTTTGATTTAAAGCTTTCCTATTGCAGAAGCGTTCCTTTACAGGAAAGAACGGCTTGCGTACCATGAGCATTAGCATGGTATTCTTTTCTATTTGCAAACTTAAGGGTAGAGTGAATTCTGGCATAATTTGGAAAACCTGGAAGTTTAAGAGTACGGATTTATATTGAGCAAATCATCTAAAGTGGATTTTACTGTGAATTATTGTTTATGTTAATTGTAAAGCAAGTATACTTTAGTATCCCTGTTGATACAGTTTGTGTATCCCTTCTCTGAAATGCTTGGGATTGGCAGTGTTCCTTTTTGGATTTTTTTTTTTTTACAACTTGAATATACATAATGAGGTATCTTGCAGATGGGAGTCTAAACATGAAACTCACTGATGACCTTACACACATAACTAGAAGATAATTTTATACACAATATGTTTAATAATGTTGTGTGCGGACCATCAGAGACCAAAGTGTCACGATCTCAGCAATTGTTGACAATTTTGGAATTTGGATTATTTGGGATTTTGGAATTCCAGATAAGGAATACTTAACCTATAGTTGGAAAGACATGATGTCAGTAGGAAGAGTGGCTGATATCAGTCCTATAATTCACATTAGTTTCAAGCAGGATTAAGATATCTAAAACAATCCCATCAGTGCATTTATTACTATGTATGTATATTGACCATCTATCAAAGCAGTGATCTTCCAAAGACAGCTTGCAACATAAAATATTATGACATGGCAGGTCAAAGGTGGGGGTCAAATCTAGATTATATTCTCAGTCAGAAATACCCCAAATGTCTCAGGCTATAAAAAGGCCTGTCAACGTAAAATGACTTTCTGAAATCCTTGTTCTACTCCATCTGTGTATTAGTTAGAAGTTTGCAATTACAACTGTGTGGCTTTATTTGTGCAAATATGTTAGCAACTGATGAACTTGATATGTTCTGCAAATCTGGCAAATCTTTCAGTCTGAGATTGAGATAGGGAGCTGAGCTTCTCATCTCCCTTCTACCTCCTCCTACTTGTCATTTTCCTTCTTTGTCCATTAAGTATTAATCTCACTTTTAAAAGATTGTTCAAATTGTAGAATAAAGTTAAATATTTTATTTCCTTCAGGGCTATTGGATCTGAGTTTAGGTATTTGGCTATACACACACACACAAAGCAAACATGGACTGGGGCCAGAAAAATCCTCCTAGGGCAGTGGTTCTCAACCTGTGGTCCCCAGGTGTTTTGGCCTACAACTCACAGAAATCCTGGCAAGTTTGCTAGCTGTTAGGATTTCTGGGAGTAGAAGGCCAAAACATCTGAGGACCCACGGATTGAGAACCACTGTCCTGGGGCAAAGGAAGCACATCCAGAGGTCTATGTTTCATTGATTTGTATGCAAATGGGGTTCACTTCTTGAAACATAATAAATAAATCCTATTGGTGCATTATTAACATCAAAGTTGGGAACAAAATAAAAAATCCTGGTATTATTTTATTTTCCCAGCCCCTCTATGCTACAGGTGCAGATAAACACAGGAATTACATATTCTGCAGTATTTTGTTTCATGGCCCTGTTTCTTCCCTGTTTATAATATTGAGGCCTCCTGAATTAGTCCTTATGGAGCTGAAACATCACTACAGCCCCATGTGTCCATATATGAAGGTGGCTCAAAATAGTTATATTACCCCAAGTAGTGCATAGCTTGCCTTGTGTGTACACAGTAAACTGATTGGGGGGAGTGGGAGAAGAAAATTTAGGTGGGAGAGGAAATTGAATGAATATACTTTAAGGAGAGCATCAGTGACTGACTAGAATAGCAAAAAGAAGCAGTACACAATGCTGTCTTTTGTCGCTTCTATGTGGGTAGGCATATTGATTTTTTTTTGTTTAAGACAAGTCCTGATAGCTTCAATTTGAGAATGCAAAGCCCAGTGCGATAAATTGCCTTACACTCTCTGTTAAAAAATATCTAAATTTAAAATTTGCTTGAACTAAAGACAAGAAAGCTGCTCCCTATTTTGCATACACTTTCTTTCACTGTGGAGGGGTGGGCTGTTGATGGGGAAACTGACCAAATAACCCTATAATAATAGTTTATTTATACAGCACCATCAATGCGCATGGAACAATTAACAATTAAACAAAAAGTTCAATGTAGATTGCAGTCACTCTGAATAAATGCAGTTATTTCATTGGCTTCATAGTTTTGGATTTGCATTTGAGTGACATATGTGACAAATACCAAGTTATTTTTTGGATCACACCGTTCAGGGAAGTTATTAATATCCCGCAATTGCTCTAACAATACAGTAGAACTACATAACAACAGACTATTGTCAATATCTTATACCTGAGACCATGAGTGGCATCGTCATGTCAGATGTAATGTATAAATGCCATAAGTAGCTAGCTACCAAGAGTTTATCCCCCTCCCCCAATTATACAAATAGGAATCTAATCAGTATTTTGGCTTGGACTGAAGCGTACAGACGTCCTGGATATTGTGGGATAGAAGAGAGCAGACAGAGATTTGGAGCAGCAGTGCACAAATAGCTTTCCGGGATAGTTGCCTCATCAGAGCAAGAGATTTATCAGATGACGAAGTTGCCAGGGAAAATGCTTTGTCACCATGTCACCTCTGAGATATTTACATTTGACCATGCGTACAGGGAAAAGTCTGTGTGGGAGTTTACTCTGCATAATGGCTCACTTAAGGGCAACACGATCTGTAATGTTGTTCCAAGGCAACCCCTCCTTACCATGAGAGAATGACTCCAAGTCTGAAATAACGTAATGCTATGCAACAACAACAAAGCACTTTCATACGAAGGTTTATTTGTAGGATTTATGGAAGGAGATCCTGACTGTGGACTTTGTATCCAGAATAATATCCACTGCCTTTTCCCCTCTAGGCCATAGTAAATATTTAATGTTACCTGATATCTGTTGATCATCTATGAAAAAGACACATCGTTTTTTCCAGACTATCAAAAAATTGTACAATTTTTGTAGATGTAACATTACTTTTAGTGAAGTAACTAACATGATAATTAAAGTGAGAAATATCTCAAAGATAATCTGCCCCAATGATAATTTTAAAATGCTTCTGCCTCTTAGGGCTCAAATTGCTTCTAGGAACATCTAGTGTCTGGCACAGTATTGGCTATCTGTCATTAAACCTCTAACCTTTCCTACCTTTTTGGGTGTCTCTGTCAGCATGATGGATAGGTCACGGGGAGAAGATTGAATTAAAGTTTGTCTTTTCTATTTGGTTGACTACAACTGACTTTGGAGTAAAAAGCATAGCGTTATTCGTGATTAATTCTTAATAGATTAAAGGTCCAGCAAAGTGATTTTTAAAAAAAAAAAAAAAACTTCATCATTTCAGTGAAGTACAATTCACCAGAAGCAAAGCCCATGATTTTATGCAGTTCTTGTTCATTTAGCTTGCATAGCACAGATGAGCCAGCAGCATGTGTCTTTTGTGGGAAAGTGCATTACATTGTTAGGATTGATTTTTAGAGAAGAGCGGAGGCATTACTTTCAGAATCAATGAGTGAATGGATGAGTGAATGAATGAATGAATGAATGGAGGTGGGGAGTGTCAAGAAGACCAAGTGATATTGATAGAAACTATCATCTACATAAGACCAAGGGCCCTTCCACACAGCCATATAACCCATAATATCAAGGCAGAAAATCCCACAACATCTGTTGTTGTAGTTCAGCGTGATGGTAACGTTGCTACTACTGGTAGGAGGTAGAAAAGGGCTGCGCAGGTGTCTGAAGAGGAGGAGCAGCGAAATCGGATTAGAGAGATAATCATGGCCCCGAGTGATTCTGAAACCTTTGAGGGCTTCTCCGACTGTGAAATGGGGGATGGGGAGGAAAGCAGGGGAGTCAAGCGGGCTACTCGCGAACAAGAGTCTGACGAGGAAACTCAAAGGAAGCGTATCCGTGATATACTTAACGCTCCTATAGAGGATGAGGATTTCATGGGCTTTGAAGGGAGTGATGGGACTGGGAGTGACATGGGGGAGGAGGATGGGCTCGATTGGACCCGTGTACAGAAGATTAGGGATAGATGTAACCAACCCACCTCCAGCAATGACTTTGAGGGGTTTACAGAAGAATGGCAACTGGGGAGCACTTGGCAAGATCTAAGTCTTGACAGACGCTGGCAGAGGTGGAGGGATGGGCGCTCGGGTTCAGCTGCAGGGAATGGGGCAGCTGAGAGCGATGATGAAAGGGTGGGGAGCACCTCATCTTCTGATGAGGAACTTTAGGATAAAAGTGGGTTTTGTTTGTATGGATCTTTGCAGAAGGCAAAGTGTCTCTTTTGGGGTGTGAATCTTTGTTCCTGCCACCTTTCTCGAGCTTGGGTCCTTGGACTACAGATTCCTGTGGTCTTGTGTTTTTCCCTTGTGAATCCATGATCGACGACTTCTACTGTACTGCTTTTGACCTGGGACCATTTTGGACATTGCTTTTGCTTCCTGGACTAATTCATCGTGTTTACATCGTGCTTTGACTTTGGAATGTTTTTGGACTCTGCTTTTGCCGTTACCCAACGTGTTTTTGAACTATTATTGGACTTTGTGCGTTTCTAGCAGTTTGCTACATGTTTTTGTTATACCGGGTTATATAGCAGGATAATCCAGATTATACTTAAGTTGCGTTTTTTACCTTGCTTTTGCTATAGACTCTTAGTTCTTACTTGAGACACCGAATTAAGTGTCTCCAAGTCTTTTTTGTAACCAATAAACTTGTGTTTGGACCTTTCTCAACGTGTTTGGCTTCTTTAAGGCTTCTGGGTCTTGACATCTGCTTTGAACTGGGTCATCTTAAGTTCACACTGCCATATATTCCAGTTCAAAGCAGAAAATGTGGGATTTTATTCAACTGTGTGGAAGGGGCCCAAGACCCACTCTTAATTAAGCTGTTTTCAACAAATGTATCTAAAATGTTTAAATGACTTAAATGTTGCTATTGTTTATTAATGACTTAAACACCTAAATCCAGTTTTAATCCTACTTAAAAATAAAGCCGCTTGACTCCCATTGATTTTAATAGTTTTTTTTAACAAGGGCTAAATCTGGATGTTATGCAAATTGAATGGTGATAATATTTTTCTGTAGTTGGGTTATAATAGGGGCTAATGTATTCAATGCAATTATTGTGATTTTAAAGGTACACTCATACCTATATATTCTGTTGTGTTTGAAGACTTCCATGTCGCTATGTTTCATTTCAGATCATTGCCAGCTCCCAAAACCTATAGCAGTGTGAAAGATGAGAGTTGGAAGGACGGCTGCTACTAAGCTGCAGAGCTGGACTACTCAGCAGGTACTCCTTCACCAGGCTAAATGACAGATCAATATGCAGACTGATCAGCTAAGACTTTGGGGGGTTGATAATCCCCAAAACCTCTCTGTCCTTAATTAGCACAAACTGGCAGAGATTATAAAACAGCACTTTAATGACATTAACATCAGATACTTGGTGATCACTCAAATCACTTTTACATGAATCACTTTTCACCTCTGGAGCTTTTCCCCCTGCTTCCTAAATTGTTATAAATAATATTAGAACTGCTCATATGGATACAGTAGCCAACATCGGGGCAAACACCTTTCAAATGCCAAAGAAATATCCATTTTGAAAAAGCAGCATGTCAGATAGTAAGCAGTTTTTTCTAAAATGTCATGCACAATACTTGATTCATTTTAAAGAAAAATGAACAATTTGAGATATAATCGATAAAGGTTAACATGTTAATCAAAGCAAACATGGGATTGAAGAGTACTAGCGTACTTTTTGAGATTATTTAAAACAATTGTGGAAGATTTAAATGGAGGAGCTGTTGAGATAAAACAGAACAGCTGTTTCTGGAGTCTCACAAAAAAGTGGCAGGGAGGCCACATCATCATTATTTTTCAAACCGTCTTGATTTAGTAGACATCCCAAATTTGAATGGGATAAACCTCATCTTTTTTATGTTGACGTAAACATATCTGATTTTATGTTATGCTATTTTGATTGCCAAAAGGGCTCAGTATCAGTTGTACAATCTTTCTAAAAAACCTAGCAGTTCCTGGCTCAGGAAGAGATGGCCTTTGCTGTCACCGCCACATTTTTAACACAATACACTTTTTTGAGATGTCCTTTTTTAGAGCACATTTCCTTCAAAAGGAAGGCGGTTGCCTCCGTTCAGAAATTACACCTCAGTGCTTATCGCCTGGAGCTCTAGCGAACACACCTCTAGACAACACGAAGCCAACTATGCACTTGCAACCTAGAGATTTAAGGAAATGAGTTGTACTGTTGATACCAAATGATATATTCATGTGGGTAATGTTTCATGGTATGATGGAGTCTTTATTCTGTTTTCCAAAAAAACAAACCAACAATTAACTTCATAATAATTTGTTTTTACTTGTAAATACTTCTGCTGAAGTTATTGCCCATGTCAATGTTTTAACGATGTAACTTTGCCTTACACCTGTATTTTTACATTGTTGGTAAAAGTTTTCTTTTTAAGAAACCTGCCACATACGTTTACAAGGTATTTAGTTCCTCTAGTGGCTGTATACTAACCAATACTTAATGATGTTTTTGCCTTTGTCGGCAGGCTTATCCTACCCAGCAGGGGAAAAAAACCTGCTACTATTATAGCCCCAAGCCCTCTCCTACTTCTTTAGTTGTTTTTGTATTGCATTAGAAGACTGAAAAATACGTTGTGTGAAGGTAACAGAAAGGGAGGCCCCTCCATCGCTAGAGAATAATATGCCTTTTGTTATATGGGAGGAGTGGGCAGTCTCTCATTTATGGCATTTGGCTGTGAGGATGTAGCACTTGCAAATTACACAATGAAACAAAAAGCTAGTCAGGATAGGACCGCAGAATCCCACATGCCCTGTGTGGGAGTACAGGGTAGGTTGCCTTTTAACTTCATTTGTGCCTGCCTCTTAAAATGTGCTTTGGAAGCGACTAGGTTTTAGAACGTCACTCCTCAAATTCTTAGCTAGTCTTCGTAGATTAGTGAATTAAAAGCCATGCAACCTTTACTTGAATTGGAAAAGTGAACAAGAAAAGAGAAGAACCAGATGTTGTCTGCAGGTTACCGCCTATAGGTAACCTTTTCCTGATTAAAGCAGGGCCTTTCCTATGTCCACGTATAACCCAACTGTGATCATCTCTAGGATGCCAGTTTATAATGACACAGTTCATTATTTGCCATCATACACATGCAGTATCTTTGATTCAGCATAAGCAGATTTTAGAAGTAGACATAAATCCACTTCGTAGTGGAATAATTTTTCGCTGTATGAATCACAAGTTCAGTATGAGGAGCAGTGTCCCTTCTGATTGTCCCTACATACCATTTCCCCAGTTCTCACATCCAGTTAGATCAAAATGTATCTGGTGTGTCTTCCAGAATTAACCTATAGCAAAACAAAGGTCAGGATTGACAGCCGCGTTTTCTAGAGCACAAACCATGAGGTTCCCCAACATTTTGACATGAATCTACCTGCCCCGCTTTCAAAGCTTAGCTCTTAACAAAGTTAGTCTTCAAGGCATTCTAAGTTGTGCTTTTATTGGGAAAATACTTCACTTGGTTTTATTTCATTCAAAAATACAGCTGTTGCCTTTTTAACCAAATGCATTACCATATTTTGTAAAGTACTACTGTTTTTATAAAGCTCGGCTATTTAATCATTTTGAAGACGTATTAAGTTGTGGAAACATCCTGCTGATACATCAAAATAAACATCCAGCGAATATGGATTCCTCAAAGAAGAAAAACTGCCAGTTTACTAGGGGAGACTCTGTGCATTACCAGTTACAAGGACATCCTAGGACTTTGTGTGTTTAGAGGTTTGGATATATTGGGAAAAAGTGTGGAAACAAATTTGATAAACTAGTGCCTATGATTTACTTAATTTATGTTTGATACTAGTTGTAAGGGTTTTATGAATGTGGATTATTTTTCGTGCCAACAGCTCAGAATTGTTGTATGTATGTAGGCAGAAGAGAAAGGAGTTCTGCTTCCAAAGTTATTTAATTTTTCCTCAGTGTTTGAATGTTTTTGTAAGTGTTAATAAAAAAGTGTAAAAACAGCAAAGATATAAATATTCTTACTGCAACATTCTTTGACTCCTTTTTTAAAAAATAAAATTAAATATTATGTAAAAATGAATATTTGAAGTTTCTTGGGGCAAATCCAAATTGTTTTGGTCACTTCTGTTCTTTCAAAGTGGACTTACGGAGTATGAGTACATTTTTAAAAATGTGGTTCTGCTTTAGACATATGGAGATGGATGATCTAATTTGAAAAAGAGATCCATGACTGAGAAGATGCTTACTTAATTCAGCACTAATAGCAGAGATGACCCCAGCTGTGGATAGTTAATGCAGGAGATAAACTGTGGAAACTGGGAGTGTTGATCCTCTTCACCCATATTGCCCTTTTAACATACAGTAGAGTTTCACTTATCCAACATAAAAGGGCTGGCAGAATGTTGGATAAGTGAAAATGTTGGATAATAAGGAGGGATTAAGGAAAAGCCTTTGTTGTTCATTCGTTCAGTTGTTTCTGACTCTTCGTGACCTCATGGACCAGCCCACACCAAAGCCCCCTGTCAGCCGTCACCACCCCCAGCTCCTTCAAGGTCAATCCAGTCACTTCAAGGATGCCATCCATCCATCTTGCCCTTGGTCAGCCCCTCTTCCATTTCCTTCCATTTTCCCCAGCATAATTACATTATGATTACATTATGATTTTACAAATTAAGCACCAAAACATCATGTTTTACAACAAATTAACAGAAAAAGCAGTTCAATACACGGTAACATTATTAGTAATTACTGTATTTATGAATGTAGCACCAAAACAAACAAGGGTTCTTTCTTTTCTCCCACCCTGAACAGCGTTGGATAATACAGACCGTTGGATAAGCAGAGGTTGGATAAGCGAGACTACTATATATTTAAAAATATAGGCTTGTTGCTATTGCAACTACATCCCAGTATCCATTCCCATAGATCAGGCATGGGCAAACTTTCTAACTTGGGGACCACATGGCAGGACAGAGCAGAGTAGGAGTGGAGTGGAGCCAGGAGAGAGTTCTCCCCGAGTCCCCTCCCTGCCAGGAGGACTGGCTGTCCAAGGGCAAGTTCCCCTTCAGAAAGAAGAAAAACAGGAAGGGAAGGGAAGCCTACGGGGCATGTCAAATCCTCTCTTGGCACGTGGCTGCCCAGGGGTCTCCTCCTTCTCTTCCCTCTTGCTCTTTCTTCAGGCAGCAACATGGTCTGCCACCTGAATGCCCATTCTTTGGGGTCAGTTCACCTTCCCAGAGGGGAAAATTTTCCTTGAGGAAGGCAGTAGTGGAAGAGGAAGAGGAGACGGAGGAGGAGGGAGGGGTGCAGAGGATAGAAGAACGGAAATGCGCCGGTGAGGAGCAGAAGGCCAGAAAGAGGCTCTGCCCAGGGCCTGGTGCTGACGCGGTGTGACTGCCCTGGCCCTTCACTCAGCATGAGGATGTGGCAGGCCGTTGTGCCCTTTTGCTGGTACATCCCAGTATCCATTCCCATAGATGGTGAGAGAGAGGAGGGCCTGAGTAAAGAGCCCAAGGGGCCGCCTCTGACCCCTGTGCCTGGGTTTGCCCATACCTGCCATAAGATACAGGTAGGATTGGGGTACTGCTTCATTTAAAAATAATACCACCTCCACATCTACTTTCATTCTCTGTGATTTGCAGTACTGAATGCATGAGCAACTCTTGTTATAAATATTTTCTGTTCCAGTTTTATAGTTTTGATTTTGGCCAATGCTCAGAGAAAGAAACTGTCATCCCTCTTTCCAGACGGATGACAGTTCTTGGCCTGTTGCAAAGACCTCTGTCCAGAAATGAATTTCTGCTGTTTTATAGAAACAAAAGGGGGAGGAATAGCACCGTGGCACCTTTAAAACTAGAAGATTCATTTTAGTGCCAACTTGTATGGGTTATATTTTATTTCCTTGGACACATCAACAAAATAGATGGTAATCAGTATAACTCATATTAAATCAGTTCAACTTACAAGTGACATGAGACTGCTGTCTCCTCTGGTTTGTACTAAAACACATCTATATCTTAAAATGGGTTTTTAATGGTTGCATAATATGGAGCAACCATATTATATTCACTCTGATGGCCAAAAGTGAGGAGGAGCTGAGGAGCCTTCTAACCAAAGTGAAAGAAGAAAGTGCAAAATCTGGATTGCAGTTAAACATAAAAAAACCCAAGATTATGGCAACAAGACTGATTGATAACTGGTAAATAGAGGGAGAAACGTGGAGGCGGTGACAGATTTTGTATTTCTATGTGCAAAGATTACTGCAGATGCGGACTGCAGCCAGGAAATCAGAAGACGTTTACTTTTTGGAAGGAGAGCAATGACTAATCTCGATAAAATAGTGAAGAGTAGAGACATCACACTGGCAAAAAAAGATCCACATAGTCAAAGCAATGGTATTCCCCATAGTAACCTATGGATGTGAGAGCTGGACCATAAGGAAAACTGAGCGAAGGAAGATAAGACGCTTTGGAACTGTGATGCTGGAGGAAAATTCTGAGAGTGCCTTGGACCGCAAGAAGGTCCAACCAGTCCATACTTCAGGAAATAAAGCCCAACTGCTCATTGGAGGGAAGGATATTAGAGGCAAAGATGAAGTACTTTGGCCACATCATGAGAAGACAGGAAAGCTTGGAGAAGACAATGATGCTGAGGAAAATGGAAGAGGGGCCGACCAAGGGTAAGAGGGATGGATGGTATCCTTGAAGTGATTGACTTGACTGAAGGAATTGGGGGTGGAGACAGCTGACAGGGACTTCTGGCGTGGGCTGGTCCATGCGGTCACAAAGAGTCGGAGGTGACTGAACGAATAAACAACAAGCTTCATTGGGAGAATTCCTAGTTCTGCTTGTAAAAAAAGCATTACATCTTTTTCTCCTTTGTCAATTTATGTAGGAGTTTTTAGTGGTGTGAACACATAGGATGGTTATACATGAAGATAACATCATTTGAGGGGGGGATCCAGAAACAAGACAGGGCTCTTACACAATAAAAGCATTGTCTCTTTAGTCTTGAGTAGCCAACATTTTGTGTAATAGCCAGGTAGTGAACACACTTTTAAAAAAAATATTTCTGTACAAGCACACTACTCCTTCTCCCTGTCCTGTTGCCTTCATTTGTATAATAAACCATCCCAATCTAGATCCAGCAGGGCCCTTCAAGTATAATGTGTAACAAAGACAGACAATAGAAGTTTCGGAGTTTCCACTAGATTGAGAAGAGGTTGCCTTTTATGTGGATTTGTCAGAATGGTGAATGGGAATCCCAATCTGTATTTTACAGGAGACTTGGCTCTTGAGTGACATCTGGTGTTGGTTGCCTTCTTTGTAGCAACTTCCACATTTTCGAAAAGAAAACAAAATATGAGCAGAATACTTTAGCATTTGCCTCATGTATTCACCTGCAGTGCATTTCTATCTTTTTACTGCCTAAATAACCGAAAGGCACCAGATCCTGTCTCATCTATAGTGCTTCAATGGGAAAGTGCCAAGGAATACAAAGTACTTTATATTACATTTTAGCAAAACCACCTCTTGAGTATCCTTGCCTAAGAAAAACGTGTGAAATTCATGGGGCTGTGATAATTTGACAGTGACTTGAAGACATACATACATACAAAGAAACAAGGTTGCTCACTTTAAGATATTTTTCTAATATTGTTCTCACATGGAAACAATTTTATGCAAAAAGGTTTTCTGTCTCTAGGAAAATGTGAAATTTTCGTGTCAGGAGTGACTTGAGAAACTGCAAGTCACTTCTGGTGTAAGAGAATTGGCCATCTGCAAGGATGTTGTCCAGGGGATGCCCGGATGTTTTACCATCCTGTGGGAGGCTTCTCATGTTCTCACATGGGAAGCTGGAGCAGACAGAAGGGAGCTCACCGTTCCTTGGATTCGAACCGCCGACCTTTTGGTCAGCAGTCCTGTTGGCACAAGGGTTTAACGCATTGCGCCACCAAGATGGTGTACTCAATGTATTCATGTTTTAACATCTCAGTAACAAATGTGTAAATTTAAAACACAAAGTCATTCAAAGAAAAGGGATTAGATTTAGAATCTAATGAAAATATTTAATGTATAAACATTTAAGCTCCCTAAATAAACTCATTTTAATGATGGTGCAACAACTTTCTAGTCAATTACATTAAAGAGTAAAGTAAACATGTCAGTGCCTCAACATAACAGAGTTGACAAATAGTTTAGAGAAGATTCCTCTTGCATCCAATTTTTGTTGGACACCTATATTACAAGAGATGTACAAATACAATCAAGATAAGAGTACTGGATTTTGTAAGGCAGAGAAACAAGGAGCATTTTGACCCAAATTTGATGGCTTGCCATTATATAAGAATTGTAACTCATTTATGTGTTTTGGTAGGGGTGAGGGATGGACAGTTGCTACATAGATCAGATCTCGGTGTCCTCTTATCTGAACATAATCAAGTAAAATCTCAGAACTGTGAATATAAAACACATGAGGCAATATTTAAAAAGCATTTTTGTACATTCTCTCTTGTTCAGGAGTGTGAAACTGTGACCAAAATACAGTTTTGCAGTAGATACTTGCAACACTGCTTTCAAACACAAAAATATACTTTTGGCATTTCTTCTGCCCAGACCTTTTAACACTTGTATAATGACATATACATACCAAATCCCAATGAGCTGTGTGGTTTATACCTATTTTTGTAAAAAATTGTGGTTCCCCCCTCACCCCCATTTTTCAAGTAGCTTTGCTATATTTACTCCATGATAAAACTGTGTGATGAACACACAATCTGTCTGAAAGACTGCCCATCCTCATCTTCTGTGTCAGGAAATGCTTAATCGTTAAGATGTCAAACAGTACACAGTTGTCGAAGGCTTTCATGGCCGGAATCACTGGGTTGTAGGTTTTTTCGGGCTATATGGCCATGTTCTAGAGGCATTCTCTCCCGACATTTCGCCTGCATCTATGGCAAGCATCCTCACTACTTCTGAGGATGCTTGCCATAGATGCAGGTGAAACGTCAGGAGAGAATGCCTTTAGAACATGGCCATATAGCCCGAAAAAACTACAAAAACCCAGTACAGAGCTGC